AACTGATTGACGAAATTGATATCAAAACTTGAATAATTTCTTCACACTTCGTTCCCTTATTCAAATTGGTATGTTCTTCGCCAAGAAATTTTGGGAGAGAAGATGAAATTTTGGGGGTGAAGATGAGAAATTTTGACGCTTAATTGGGAACTTAATTGTGTATTATCTATTAATTGATGCATTTATTGTTGGCACCTAGTGAAAATTATCCCGCTTAACTTCCTCCCAATGGCGCCCGGAGTGAAATTTTTGCCGCCCCTGCTTCCCTCTTCTTTTATTCCTTTCCCTCTTCTTTTTTTAGTTTCCCTAAATTCAAGACTGAGTTGACGATTAGTGATTGGTGGTGTATAATATTCTTTTGTACACTATATGTACCTCTAGCCCTTAAATTTCAGTTGAGGTAATTGCCAAATAATTCTAATCATTTAAAAGTTGTACTACCCTTTAAATTAATCTTTGTGTTTGCGTGGCTAAAATTCTTCAATCATGGATGGACTTGGGCCATATTCAAAAATATCTAGAAGAATTGTACTATCCACCCCACTATCAACGAGAATCTACAATAACAATAGATCTTCAATCTCATAGAAAGACCTCCTTTAGTCTTAGAAATACAACAACAAACTATGCATACAATCCTTCTTTAAAATAATAGATAGAGTTACGATGTTGAATGTTTTGTCTCATACTTGTGTGCCTAGCACTGTCAAATTTCAAACCGAAATCGTTTAACTGTCCGAAACCAACCGACTCAAATGAGAACCGAACCGATTAAAAATTGATTTTTTAAAACCGAAAACTGATCTGAACCGTATTTTAGTAAACCCGAAACCGAACCGATTCGGATTATGTTAAATCGTATAAGAACCGAACCCGTTAAGGAACCGAACCAATTCTAAACCGAACTCAATTAAAACCGAACCGAAAAAGAACCGAACCATTTCTAACCCGAAACCGTTCCAACCCAAAACTGTTTGAACCGCGATAAAAACAGGTTACACCGAACCGTTAACAAACCGCAACCCGTTTGCACCGAACCATGATCAAACCGTACCATTTATGAACCGAACCGTTAATGAATCAAACCGTTTACAAACCACTTACTGTAAAAGAAAGATTAAAATCACGTTAAAATGAATTTTATATAAAATCTAATTATGCACACATGTTTACTACGGATACGGAGTACATTATTGTTTTCACTGACTTTTTTTATGTAATTATGGATTAAGCAAAATTAATCTTTGTCTTTCTCATTAAACAACATCATCAAAGTGCTACAATATATATTATACTCAGAATTTTATTAGACCAAAGCTGGCCTAATCAAATTTTTATGATGTACTCCTATTATTGTAATTCTCAAAATTTTTTGAATAGATGATTGCATCCTTTGATCTTTCAAAAACAAATTAAAGTCAATAAAAAAAATTATAATAAAGAATATGATTTATTAATTCATTAATTGAAAAACAAACTCGAAAAATTCTAGCTTGAAACCAACCGACCCAAATGAGAACCGAATCAATTAAAAACCGATTTTTTGAAATCGAAATCTGACTCGAACCACATTTTAGTTAACCCAAAACCGAACTAATCCGAATAATGTTAAACCGTATAAGAACCGAACCTGTTAACGAACCAAATTGAAAAAAACTGAACCGAAAAAGAATCAAATCATTTCTAATTCAAAACTGTTTGAACTGGGATAAAAACCGTCCACACCGAACCGTTAACAAACCGCAACCCGTCTGCACCGAACCGTTTACTACCCGAACCGAATTAAAACCGCTTAAGAACAAAACCAAAATCGAACTGAACTTATAATAATTTGAATCGAACCGAAACTGACCCGTAAAGCACTTGAACTGATTTCAAACCGACCCGTTTTCAAACCGAACTGATTTCAAATCGAATCAAAATCGAACTGTCAAACCTTTTTGACAGTGCTATGTATACCATATATAATCTATACCACTCGATATCATTGGTGCACCACGTACTGCTTTTTTACTAAGTGATTCGTGTGGTAGTAATTAATACGGTACCCTCCGTATGGAGTATTGTTACTTCTTTTGTTTTGTAATAATTGCAACACTTTACCTTTGTTTTGTAATATTCAAATTTAAGGAAAAATTAGAAATAATAATCCCAACTTTCACGTATTTTGTTTCATTAATCCCAACTTTGGATTATTCTGGAATAATCCGAACTTTGGGGGCTGTTGATTTTCTTCAATCCTAAATACTGGTTACCGGTTGAATGGTTTTTTTTTTTTTAAAGTGACACGTGTCATAAGTTAATTGGTTAAGAAAATATATAAAAAAAACAAAACAAAATTAAAAAAAACCACCGAGCCAAAACCCCAACCACCCTAAGAAATCCGGTAACCCGCCAGCCAGCCACTTCCCTCGTCGGACCGCTGTCCCTTCCCCACCACTAGGGTCACCGCTCCGGCCGCTGCCTTCTAAACCACCATTCCCCCGTCCCGAAAACCCCACGCAACCACCAATAAAACCCCTCCCCCACTTCGAAAACTTCCAATCGCCACTACCCTTACCCCGAAACCCTAGCGGCTAGGGTTTTCGACAGTGAGGAAGTAGTTGTTGGGGGTTTCAGGAGTGAGGGAGGGGTTTGAGGGATTTTCGAATGGTTGGAGGGGTTTAAAGGGAGTTTTGATTGTGGACGCGGAAAACCGAATCGGAAAAGGAGGGGTTTGGGGGTGGAGGTGGGTCACAACACCGGCACAGGGGGATTGAGGGGAAAGCGATGCAGCATTAGGGCAGAGGAAGGGAAGGTAGGCGCGGCCGGCCGACGGCAGGTGATGGTGGGGGTTACGATGGTCAGATAGGGGATAAGGGTTTTCTAGTTTTTTTTTTTTTTTTTTTTTTTTTTTTTTTTTAAAAAAAAAATTTCTTCTTTTTCGGATCGGACCAAATACAACTTGACACGTGGCACTTAAATTGTTATAACATGCCATTGACTTTTGTTGACCGGTTTGGGATTGAAGAAAATCAACAACCCCCAAACTTCACATTATTCCAGAATAATCCAAAGCTGGGATTATTGAAACAAAATTCGTGAAAGTTGAGATTATTATTTCTAATTTTCCTATATTTAATTACTTTGATTTTACTCCATACTTTTTAATCAATGTATAAAAAACATACACTGTCATGTAACATATTTTTAGATTAGTTTTTATATAAATTTTAATTATCAAGCTTTTATATTTCTTAATAATATAATTGTAAATATTAATGGTCAAAGTTGTCTATTGACATATGTGTCGATCAAAGTGTAGCAATAATTATGAAACGGAGGGAGTATAACAATATACAATTATTAATTGCCTCCGTTTCCTATTATGTGCCTCCTTACATGAGAGTACTTTGGGCTTGAAGTGTGGATGCGGCATTAGCCCTTCGTACTTAACACAAATTGTTCTACTTGAAAGTAGGGGTGAATGAGATTTGAACCCTTGACCTTTGTTTCATGCTGGCTCTTGATGTCTGTTAAAAGACTAATTTAACCAAAAATTTAAGCTGATGGTTAAAGTCTATGATTGATTTATAGACTCTATCACAAACAAATTAGGTTGATTCATTAACAAATGAATGATATACACATGCGCTTATATGAAGGGTTAAGTAGTTAACCAGATGGTGATTACATTTGTTAAAGTGCGGTTTCTTGTAGTAGGATGCTACTATATACCTCCCTCCCTAAATGATGTGACCATTTTTTTTTGTATGGAAAAGATAAAAAGTAAGTATTGATATTTTAGGTATATGTGTATTTCATAGGAAAAAAAGGTAAAAATTTGTGTGGATTATGATAAAAATATAATTTGATAATTTTAGAAATAGACACATCATTTGGGCCACCATTTAAAAAAAAAACAGACACATCATTTAGAGACGGAGGTAATACATAAGAATAAATTATTGAAAGAACCCTCACTCCCACTTTTGTACCATCCTCACAAGAAGTTGTCAAATTGTAGATGAGTGAGTCCATATACTTCTTCCGTTCTACATTATAGTTCCTGTTTTCCTATTTTGAAAATCCAAAATATTATTCTTGTTTCTATTTTTAGATAGTATGTAAAGATCATTATACCCTCATTTTTTTTAACTTTTATTGAACTTCCTAAATTACTTTTGAATTTTCCACTTCTCTTGTACTTTTTTCCACCTTCTTTCTTTAAGTTTTATCTATAATTGTACTTTTTACTTTTTTTTAATGTACTTTATCCACTTTCTTCTTTTATTTATTAAAATACTGTGAAAAACACAATAAAAACTATAAAATGGGACGGAGGAAGTAGCTGCTTTCACCCTGCGCCGAACGGACCCATGAGTACATTGCATGTCTATCTCATCAACCAAGATATTTTATCAATTGGCTCAGAATTTACCACCTGTCAACATAAATATTTTTTCTGAACACGTTTAATTATTTTAATGATGGTAAATTGGTGGACATTACAAACAATATGGTGACAACAGAGGGTGAGCCACACCAATTGCTATGATTGTGATGCTTATATATACATACGTAAAAATGGCTTATTTGTGGGGCTTTCCAATTGAAATCCAAGTTTTTTTTTTTTTTTGTTTTTTTTTTGTTGACAAAGAGTGAAATCCAAGTATAATTATTAACTAAATGTGTTACATTTTGAGACTCAGTGGTGCGCGCTAGTTGCATACTTGCATTATATTGGCCTTCTTTTAGAGTTGTCAATCGTAGTATATAGACTGTTACTAACTTATTACACCGTATATATTACTCCGTATTCCGTAACATCTAGATGACGAGATATATGAACCTTTTGTTTTTCTTTTATTTTTTAAAAACAATCTAATTTTCTTGCCAAAAAACAATTACAATTTTAAAAATAATTGGCATAAATCATAAATTTTATATGTGGCTAGCCACAGTGGTCAGTCATTAAGAGGGTTATTTCTTTTAGTTTTATAGGGGTTATTTGATCAATGTTTAGGGATTACTTTGTTAGTGTTACAGGGATTAGTTCGTCAATATTATAGAGGCTACTCGGTCAAGGGTTACTCGTCAGTATTTTAGAGGCTACTTTGTTCTTTTACAAACGACCATACGATGTGGCCAGCAACACACAAGACGCCCTATGATGTTTTACTGTACTCACTTAAACTATATTTTCTCTATTTTCTTTTAAATACAACACACTTTCTTAGCACGCACTTTAAAAAAAGATTTAACAATGTAAACAGACACATTAATCAAAATAATTTTTAAATGTAATAACTCACCCTTCTCTAATTACAGCGTTCAAATATTTAATGGGCCTTATACAAGGCTGGCCCGTTTACATACTCTTATCCCAATCATCATCATAATCTTGAACAAAGGAAGAAAGAAGAGGAAGAAAATCGTTCAACACTTACGCAACTCTACTCCCTCACACAAATACACACTTGAAGAAACTGCAAAAGTGGCAATGGCTGCTCTTCAAAGCTCCTTTACTTCTCTTTCTCTCTCCTCCAACTCTTTCTTTGGTCAACGCCTCTTTCCTTCTCCTACCTCTCTTCAGGTATTTCCTTTTTTTCGCCTAATCTTATTTTATCTTTATATTCCTTTTTCTGGGTTCTAATTTGGATTCTTTTTACAGTGAATTTGGATAAACTCCGACTCTTGTTTTACACCTTTATTAAAACTCTCTCTGTTTTTTAAATACTTGTTCTATTTCTCCATGCACGGAGTTTTAGGAGAAATTAGAGAAAGTAATGAAATATATAGGTAGCTTAGTGGGGAAGGTGGAAGAATAAAAAATTATATAAGCAAAAGGAGTTGAGAGAATCGAAGAAGAGCGAAAATGAAATTGATAAAATATAATTTATGTTGAGTCCACTGGTTAAGAGAAATGAATTAAATATTTTAAAAGCTTTTCAAATAAGGAAATGGAGCAAGTATTTAAAAACGGTCGGAAATAAAAAGTGAAACAAGTATTTAAAAATGGAGGAAGTAGTAACAAAATGTAATTACTCTAATTCTTGTTTATCACAATAAAGTATGGAATTTATCTGAATTAATTAAAGAAATCGATCTCTCTTCATTTTTTATTCTTTTTTTTAAAAAAAAAAAATTACCGTTTTTACATGAATATAGAAAAAATATATGGAAATATATTGCGTCCAATAGGATTTGAAACTATACCAAAGGTTTAGAAGACCTATGTCCTATCCATTAGACGATGGACGCTTTTGATTCTTATTTTTTAGCATTTTTTATTTTATTAAAACTATTTTGGAAAAAAGAAATTTTACCAATTTTGTGTAAAAACTGAAATTTTGTCAAAATTTTAAGAAAATATTTGATTTAAAATTTTTGAACAAGTATCTTGTCCTTTTATTATATGAAGTGTGTACCTTATATAGTTATATGTACCTTATGGACATGTACCTCTGATCTTCTAAACATACACTACGTACTTTATAAATATATCACTTACTTTAAAACTTTGTAAATAATCAAAATCACCATATTTTTAGAATTGTTTTATTTTTATAAAATAATATATATTTGGACATTTACTTTATTTGTATATTGGATATACCTCATAGTTTTAGGGCAGGTAACTTACACCTTAATTCAGTACTATACCTTATACCATAAGGCAGGGGGGATGCAAGGGGGTTCAAGTGGGTTCATTGAACTCACAGATTTTTTTTGAAAAAAAGTGAAAAGTTTAAGGTTTTTTTTTTTTTTTGATAAAAAGGGTTAAATAAAATTTATGTGTAATACAAAGCAAAATGTTACTGCAGTGGTTGCTAATAACATGCGCTCATCTTATTTATTAGCTATTGGAGATCTACGGTTCAAACCCTTCATAGCCACAATATTTTTATATTTTTTGTTTCTTCACTCTATAAGTAAGTTCGTTCAATTTTTTTATTTTTTTTCCTAAATTATTTAATTGATAATTAGTGATTGCTATTTTACTAATTTATATATAACTGAATAATAGCCAAAATAGTTTTTGTAATTTTTTTTTTCTTCACTCTATAATATAAGTAAGTTCGTTCAATTTTTTTTTTTTTATTTATTTTTTTTTTTTTTTGTTTTTTTAATTTAATTGGTAATTGATGATTGTTATTTTACTAATTTGAAATATAACTGAACAATTGATTATGAATATGTGGAGTTAGATACTTGCTTGTTGGGGGGTTTTAATAAATGATTGATATAAACTCAAATTGATGTCTTGATATAGTAAAATAAAATTAAATGTTATTGATTTGTCGTATAAAAGCTATAATTTACAATGTTACAATAATACTCCTTGATAAAATATATAATTGTATGAATTTTGCTTGATGTTATTGTAATTTGGGGAGTTTTCAGTTTGCAACATGAGTTTAGAGTTTTTTGGAAAACGTGCGGGGAAGTCACTGCACAAAAGTCATCTGCTTGTTCTTCACTTGGTTTAGATCGAGATGATATATAGACACACTTCCAAAGTATGAAAACTCAAAAAATGCTTTTGTAGTTTTCTATATATATATATATATATATATTTTATGTTTCTAAGTGCAATTCATTTGTAATCCGAAATTTGAACTTATGCATTGAGACATTAATTAATATATTTTCATTCCTTTATTTTTACAATTTCGAACCCACAAGTCAGAATTCCTTATATACGCCACTGCCATAAGGACATGCATGTGCCTTATATAAATAATACGAGTATATAGTATTGATTTATTGCATATCCATTTTAATTAAACCCTAATCATTTAAGGTTACCTATATATTAATTGGGAGGTCCCATTTAAATATTACAATATACACCTTTCAATATGAAAAATAATTAATTCAAACACCTAACCATTTCATTCTCAACTCTGTATTTCTTATTCATAAAACATTTTTATCAGTTGAGATACCCAATAATATTTTGTATACTAGTATTGTATATACATTTCAAACATTTAAATAAAAAAAAAATGGTCCCTCTGTCTCTTAAAGTTCGTTTTATTCTGATTTTTTTTATTTATTTTTGTGAGACAATCACAGTTTAAATAGAAAAAATTCAAAGGCAGATGGAGTACTTATAAAATTCGACATTAAATTACAAAAAGCGTTACAATCTAGTGGACCTTAGTTTTCAAATAACACCAATTTGAATGTTTGCTACAATGATAATAAACCTTTTTTTTTTTTTTTTTAAGAAATAACCAACTTTATTTTTAAGATCGGAGAATGTTGTCATAATCAGTTAGTCGATAATATATGCGCTAAAAGGTGCACCAACAATGGCAACATGTCATATTTTTTTTGTTGTGTCCTTAGTACGGATTTTTTTTTATTTTTCAAAATTTCTTTTTAATTTTGGAAAGAAAAATATTAGGAAATTAATTTTATAAAAATATCTTTGTTATAATGTGCAATAATATATATGTTAAAAGAGTGACACACCAGCAATGACAACATGTGATTTTCTGATGTGTCCTTCATATGAGTAATTTTTTATTGTTTAAAATTTCTTTTTAATTTTGGAATGAAAATTATTAGAAAATTAATTAAAAAACATCTTTATTATTATTTGCAATAGGGTCTGTTCTATTTAACTTATTTTCATTAATTTTAGGTTTAATAAGCAATAAGTTTAAATAAATTTTGTTGAAGAAAAATAAGTTTTGATAAGAATTACCCAAGTACAAATTAAACTAAAATAAGTTTTTAATAAGTTCAGATAAGTCCATTTAAGTTCACATAAATGAAAATCTAGTAAATAGTATATGCGTTTTAGATTTATACACATTAAGCTATTAGCTATGTAAGAAAAATTTATAGCTTTTAATTAAGAAATTGTATGCTTGATGAATTGTTTTTATTTTAAGAAAGATTTTTATCCACCAAGACAAGAAATAATGTGTATAGAATTTCGATCAAATTTATATAAGATTCCTACTGTAAGAGCCAAGGGAGAAGGAGAGTGAATAGTTGGTGTCCAATTTTTGAGTTACCTAAATTGCCCCTTAAAATTAAATAATGTTAATTAAAGATTCCAATTAAGCTATATATAACAGGAAAATTAAAATAAATAATCTTCATCAATCAATCAATTTTGATGAAAAGGGGAATTTCTAAAATGGTGAAAATGAATACTTCAAATTGAATACATTTTGGAAAAGAAAAAAAAAAAAAAAAAAAAAAAAAAAAAAAAAAAAAAAAAGTAAAATGGCAAATTTAAAACGCACATAGTTTAACATTAACATCCTTTAACGAGAATGTATCACCTTTAGACGTGATTTACAATTTCTTATACAAGTATCGAGCGAATATCAGCTTTCATTTGCATTAAAATATGTGAAGATTTATTACAAGAATATATTTTAATATCGGAGATAGTATAAACTACATGTTTCCCTTTAACATTTAACTCTTTATGTAAAAAACACCATTTGACTCCAATTCAATTTTTAATTCCATTTTATTTTTGATGTTGTTTCCCTCCGATTTTTTCTAACTTTGCATTGTACAAAATACGCTAAATAGATTTTTTTTTTTTATTTATTTTTTTTAAGTCATGTGTCAAAGTCACAAAAAAAAAAAAAAAAAGTTTTCAAAAATCAATCACGCACGCATCTACTTAAATATTAAATATTCGAGGAATGAAAATCTCAAAAATTAAATAAAAAATAAAAAATATCTGATAAAAGGGATAAAAAAAACTACAAACTATAATTTCAGGATTTAAATTAAATAAAATTAAAAATTATCTGTTGATTTTAAAGATTTCATCTACTTAAATATTCTAGGAATAAAATCATAGAAATTTATTTTAAAAAATAAATTTTATCTTTTTTTTAAATAACTTACAAATAAAAATTCAAAAATTCACTAGAATGGACAACATATTTTATAAATTTCCAAAATACATACCAAAAAATGAAATAAAAAAATTCAATTGGGATTTTATTGAAAAATGTATATTTGAAAAATCATAGGAATTAAGGTATTAAAAAAATAGAAAATATTATATGAAAAACTGTGCATCACACGGGATTAATCTAGTAAAAGATCTATGATAAAATGTAAGACAATATTATAACTTGATTTAAGAGCCAAAGATGAAATAAACAGGTAGGCTTAATTTATTCACATGAATAATTAAAAATATCAATTTCCCTAATTTATTTTTAAATATCAAATCATATATCTAATGTGATAGTATTTATTAAATTACTAGACTAGGAAATAGAAAGAAAATGTTGCCAATTTTTCGCCAAATTCTTTTAACATACTCATTGGGCCAAATTTGTAATTTCAAAATGGTCATTTGGATAATTCACATTTTTATAATAAGTCATATATTTTATTAAATACATGAAATAAGTAGAAAATAAATATATTTTGGAAAATTTAGTCACGATAATATTAAACAAAAATTTTCAATTAATAATTTAGTGATAAATTAATTATAAATACTAAAAATCATTGTACATGACACGAGATCCAAACTAGTAGATAGATTAGAGCAACTCCAATGGTAAGTTAATTAGCAAATTAGCTGCTATGCCACATAAGATTTAAGCTTATCTCTTTTGTATAGCTAGTTTGTGCTCCAATAATGGTTAGCTACTAGTTTGTGATTTAATTGAGTCTTAATTTGTTAATTAGCTTTTTCCATTTAATTTTATGAATATATTCGCCTATCTTTTTGCTTGGCAAGTTTTTACTCAAGCAAATTAGCTTGGCAAAACTAATTTGCTTGACCAAGCTAATTTAATTTTTTAGCTCAAATGGTCAAGCTAATAGTTAGGGTATTTTCTAAATTGCAAGACAGCCATTGGAGTTGCTCTAATACACTAGCTAATATTATATTCTAGAAGGTTATATAGAAAAAATTCGGAAACTATAAGTTAATACTCAAAGTTGAGAATACAAATACATAATGTATTCATAGTTGTGCACCCGTTGTAATGCATAAATAATTTTTTTCGGCCCAAGAAGATAGATTAATAACAAACTATGTTGATATATTTATCCCTAATTTAATAAGCATTTACATATTAGTGAATATGGATGGTTTATATTTAACTATTTGGCTTATTAGTGCTTATTAGTTGCCTATGTGGAATAAGTGTCGTTATTTCGTAGATTGGTGCAAAAATCAACTTTACATATTATTAGTGAATATGGATGGTTTTTATTTAACCTTCTGGCTTTCTTACTTGCCAGTTAAAAGTGAAGGTCATCCACCATGTCTTATATAGTGTCATATCATGAAGGTTGGTTCTTCAAACTCATGCTCGTTGTTTGTTACCTGTTTGAATTATGTCTTGGCGTCTTGCCATCAATTTCCGAAGGGATGTAAAATTAATTCCAATTTATTTGTTAACCCATAATATAATAAATAATTTGAAAAGGGTTTCAATTTTTTTTTTAATTTTTACAAGGATTATATTATTCTCAGTGACGTAGATTTTGAGCCACCCAATTATTTTTTCATTGCGCTATCTAGTCATTTATTTTTCCATTATGCAGCTCAAGCGCTGGGAACGGAAGGAATGTAAACCAAACAGTCTCCCAAAGCATCATAATGTGCAGTGTATGAATGAAACAGCAGAAATTGTTCGTCCTCTTGCTAATTATCCTCCTAACTTATGGGGCGATCACTTCCTTAACTATGCTCCCCCGAACGAGGTTTTTATTTATTCTTCTTATTATTATTAGTTTTTGTTTTTGTTTTTATTTTTATTTATTCTTATTCTTATTCTTATTATTAGTATTTTTTTTTTTGAGATAAAATTATTATTATTATTATTAATAATGTTAATTAGTGTGTTATTCCTCAAAAAAAAAAAAAAAAAATGTTAGTGTGTTACTTCTCGTTTTGTTGTTACTAAGGACTAACCGTAATTTGTTTTAGTTTGTTAGATTGACTTTCTCTTGTTTACATGTCTATGAAGATTCACACAATCACCAATTGATTCGTTACAAAATCTCAGCTCCTTTAGCCTTTAAACTCTCCAAGCCTCCTTGATGGATATCTCAAAACTCTGTGAACTAACAAAATTCATAAAAGTAATCATATCATTTATAATTAATACTAAAATAGCAATCGCTGACATCATTGTATCATAAAATTAGACCTATATCAGGTTGTCATTAAAATTTTTCCCTCCAAAACTATAAATGATGTCATCATTTTATAATTTTATTTTTTTTCCTTTAAAATTTTGTTTGGTTCATTATTACTCTGCATTACTCCCTCCGTTTTTAATTACTTGTTTCACTCTCCATTTCTGGCCGTTTTTAATTACTTGCTCCATTTTCTTATTTGGAAAGCTTTTACAATATTTAATTCATTTTTTCAACTAGTAGATCCAACATAAATTATATTTAATTTATTTCATATTCTCTCTCCTCTAATTCTCTCAACTATTTTTGCATTTTACAATTTTTTATTCTTCCACCAACCCCACTACCTCCATATTTTATTACTTCTCCAATTCTTCTAAAACTCCGCACGGAGAAATGGAGAAAGTAATTAAAAACGGAGGGAGTAGTATTAATTTCTGACAAACAATCTAATTTTCTCTAATAATAATAATTTTTTCCTCTCATTAATCCATTTCATCATTTAATTTTTCTGTGAGCTCTAAATTTTTTTAATATTTGACTTACTTTGGGATTTTTTTTTTTTTTTGTTTTTAATTTTGATATCAAAAAATAAAAAAAAATTATTGGGTTTTTCTATATAATAACCCTCTAAATTCCACTTTTCTACATTGTGCCCCTCCATTTAGAACTTTCTACATTGTAACCCCAAAATACATTTAGTTTCTATACAGTAAACTTGTCGTTATCTCGCCGTTAACAAATTCTGTTAGTGGGGCCCACTCTCCACTTATTAATATTTTTTATCGATTTGCGTGTTGAAAATTGTTGTATTAAAGGTTTTGGGGGCTATTTTGGGCCTTAATGAATCAAATTGAGCTCAGATTTGGCAAAAATTTAACGTAAATGCCTCGTTTTGCGTATTAAAAACGTAAACACACAAATCAAGACATTTCTTAATACGCAAAAAGAGGCGTCTACATGTTTTTTTTTTCCCAAATCTAAGCTCAAATTGGATCCTTAAGGGCCAAAATAGCCCCCAAAACCTTTAAGAGAACAATTTCCAACACACAAATCGATTAAAAAATATTAATAAGTGGAGAGTAGGTCCCACTAACGGAATTTGTTAATAGCGGGATGACGACGCAAGGTTACTGTATAGAAGCTAAATGTATTTTGGGGTTACAGTGTGGAAAGTTTTAAATGGAGGGGCACAAGGTAGAAAAGTGAAATTTAGAGGGTTACATATAGAAAAACCCAAAATTATTTATTCAAATCGTGCATCGCATGAGAATAATCTAGTATCACTAATAAATAAAGCCAGTTCTCCCCGCTAGGTCACGAGACAACGACCCTTGGCGTTACAATTTTTTGTCAAGTGTCGCACCACGTAAGCAACAAATAGGTATTATTGTGACACATATATATATGATGCTAAGCAAGTGAATTGTTGATAAATTTGTAAGATAAAATATTTCAAGTTATCTATTTACAAACAAAACTACAAAAAGTAGACTATTATATAAATAAGCGATATGATATTGTATATTTAAATATCCTGCATTATCAAAAGGGATTATATGACCGTATTTAATATTTAAGCCAAAAAAAAATTTTCCAAATATTATCAACCATCTGGGCATTGCCCTGGCACAAAACTAGTCACTAATAAATAAAGATGAGTCCCGTAACCTGGCCACGAGACATCTACACTAGACATTCTAAATTTTTGCTAAGTGTCCCAAGAAGACAAGTAAGCATTTATATTTAATATGAGGTATGTATATGATGCTACATAAGAAAAATATGAATAATTTATTTTGATTAAAAAATTATTTTAGGATTAGATGTTATTTTAGAGTTTTATTTTCAATAAAACTTCTCATATCTCATATGTATAAAATAAAATGTAAATTTATATATCAAATCACCAATAAATATAGTCAAGTTTCGCAACCAGGCCACGAGATATTGACATTTGACAATCTAACTTTTCACCAAGTGTCGTACTACATAAGCCACAAATAAGAATTAATATAATATGTATGATGCTACGTAAGTGAAATTCGGATAAAATTATTAACTATGATGAAAAAAAAAGTAATTTTAGGATAATATGTTTTTTTAGAGCTTTATTTTTGTAACACTTCTCATGTATAAAACAAAATGAACTTTAAATAAATATCTTTATAAATTTTCTATTATTACATCATAAAATTCTTTTTAAAATGTTTTTCAAAACAAGATTCATTTATGGTATACTCTAATTGATTAAAATAAGATATTGATACTTGACATTTCAACTTTTCACCACGTGTCGCGCCATATAAACAACAAATAAGCACTAGTATGATTCTAAGTTAGCAAAATTCAAATAGGTTTTTTTTAAATAAAAAGTTATTTAAGAGTTTTATTTTCGATAAAATTTTAATTTTTAAAATATACGAAGTATAAAATAAATTATCACTTTCAGTAAAAAAATCTTATAAATGTGTTATTTTTACAACTACTAATGGTGATATATTTTTATATTTTACGAATATAATTGTTAAGTGATCATTTATTCATGAGTAGATTGATGAAGTAATATAGATATTACCTTGTTAACATCAACGATAATTATGCATCTGCAGTGGTAATATTTTTTCTATTTTACAAATGTAATTATTAGTTGATCATTAATTCATAGATAGCATATTGAAATGATATAGAGATGATTATACTAATTTAACTATAAAAATTACACCGTTGTTTTCACATACGGAGTGTGTTTTTATAATATTCATTGCTCTTATTCTTGCCTAAACTAATGGTATCATACCACAAAATATCCTAAATTAAAAAGGATATGTCTTAGAATAAAAATATTATTTGTATCAATGACATGTGTTAAGAGTTAGTACTTGGGACAACAAAAGTTTATCCTAAAATTCAATAAACAACAACTAACAAAACTAGTATCTTATAAATTTGTTATTTTTACATCATAACATTAAAAAGTTATTCAAAATAAGATCCATATATGGTATACTCTAATTGATTAAAACAATATATCGATACTTGACATTCCAACTTTTCGCCAAGTGTCGCGCTATAAAGACGACAAATAATTATTAGTATGATTTTAAGTCATTAGCGAAATTCAAATAGGTTTGTTTAAAACAAAAAGTTATTTAAGAGTTATTTTCTATAAAATTCTAACATTTAAGATATATAAAGTATAAAAGAAATTATCACCTTCAATAAAAAATCTTATAAATGTGTTTTTTTTACAACTACTAATGGTGATATGTTTTTTATATTACATAATATAATTATCAAGTGATCATTCATTCATGAGTAGATTGATGAATTAATATATATATTATATTATTAACATCGACGATGTGATGCATTAGTAGCATACGCATGATGTCAAAGATTCGCATAGATTTTTTAGGGGGATTATAATTTTTACTTATTGATAATTAGAGATTTTTAACAGATTAAATCTTGTATTAACTAACATGATAAAAAAAAAGTGTAATTTAATTTAGAACGGAGGATGTATTAAGTAACGGATGAAATGTATAACAAGACCATTAAAGTCTTTTGAAAAGCAACTACTAATTATTGTAATATTAATTTTGTTTGTATACCAAATAATGATTTACGTACTATTGGCCTAGGTTACCCAAGGTCTAATGGAGCAAGAGGCAGATGAGCTTAAAGAGGTGGTGCGCAAAGAAATTTTGGTCGTTGACAAAGACACAAAAGAAAGACTTGTATTTCTAGATGATATACATCGACTTGGAGTTGCATACCATTTTGAAAATGAAATTGAAGACACTTATCAAAAGTTCCACAAGAAGATGTATGATGATAGTTACTATGAGGATGATCTTTACTATGTTTCTCTACGATTTCGTCTCTTACGACAACATGGATTCAATGTTTCATGTGGTATGTCACTATTTACTTCACCATTACATTGTTTTTGCATAGTTTTATTTCAAATATATATATTAGAAGATACTCCGTCTTATATTAACACGGTATTTGTTTGTATACAAAACAGATGTATTTGAAAGCTTCAAATGCGAGAATGGAAGTTTTAAGGATAGCTTAGCAAGTGATATGCAAGGACTATTGAGCTTGTATGAAGCATCATATCTAGGAGTGCACGGAGAGAATACACTCGATGAAGCTCGTGCATTTGCTACTACTCATCTAACCTCCTTTGCTAGACAATTAAGCTCTCCCATGGCCGAACAAATAGCCCGTTCCTTGAAACTACCCCTTCATCGACGTAGTATAAGGCTAGAATCGTGGTATCAAATCTCATTCTATGAGTCAAAGTCTTTCCACAATGAAGCTTTGCTGAAATTCGCAAAGTTAGATTTCAACTTGCTTCAAATATTGCATAACAAGGAGCTAAGAGATCATACTAGGTAAATATGTCAAGTAACTTATAGATAAAAGTGATTTATCTTTTTAGTGTCAATATATATATATTATGTTATGAAATTTCTAATCTATTGTTTTTCCTTTGCTAAGGTGGTGGAGAAGTCTAGATATGGTCACAAAATACCCTTTTGCGAGAGACAGAGTGGTAGAGGCCTACTTCTGGATTTTGGGTATGTACTACGAGCCTAAGTACTCGTATGCAAGGATGTTGTTTAACAAATTGTTCAACTTTATATCCGTCATAGATGACATCTATGATGCTTATGGAACCATTGAAGAGTTAAAAACCTTCACAGAAATGATTCAAAGGTTCGTTAACATAAATGTACCCTATGAAAGTTAAATATAGTCCTCCTAAATCAATATTTTCACCTGATTATTAAACTAACTAGAAATTTAACTTAATTGATGAAATAATAGGTGGGACAAAAGTTGCATCGATCAACTTCCAAACTACATGAGAGCCATTTCTCAAGTTATCTTTGATACGTTTGAAGAAATTGAACAAGATTTAGCTTTGGAGCAACGATCATACGCTGTTGATTATCTCAAAAAAGAAGTACGTTCATACATACTAAAGCATAATATAATCTATATATTATTATTGTCTGTTTTCCTAGTGAAATTATACATGCAAGAACTAACATTAATCAATGTCTTATTTTATTTGATAGATGAAAGCTATATGTCAATCTTACTTGCAACAATCTGTTTGGCATCATCAAAATGTTGTTCCGACATACGACGAATACATGAAAAATGGCATTATAAGCTCCGGCTATCTCTATGTTGCTACTGCATCTTATCAAGGCATGGGGAAGTTGGCATCAAAACATGCCTTCGAATGGGTTGACGAAAATACAAAGGCTCTAAAGCCTTCATGTATACTTGCCAGGCTCTTGAACGACATTAGTAGCCACAAGGTATTTACATGTACTCTCACTTAACTAAGATGCACAACAAGATAAGGGGTATCTACCAACGGCTCAAAATCATCAGTAAAGTGGTAATTATAAAAATGTTTTAAAATAAGGTATTCAAGGCTACGAGTAAGAAGTAGACAAAAGATTGAAAAGATAATCTTATAAACAATGGAACAAATTTAGTGTGCCGTGATGTAAATCACTAACTTGAAAATGAAATTCTAGCACAATCTAGAGCTCAATTGTATTTTCCAGCACGTTTCCTAAGAGCATTCACATCCATTAGACTCCTCATAATTTCTCTCTCCTCACCTCATTAGTGCACGTCACTTTCTACTAACTTTATTAATACCCTTCCCATTTTACATTTTCATATCTACATTCATTAACCTCCCCATTTACTTTCTCTCTCCTATTTTTGCATGTGTATTGGTGGAAGGGAAGCACCAAAGGTGGCCCACAAATGAGATTTAGGAGCTTCGCATCTAATTAACCTCCCCAAAAATAATTGTGGGATGGGGAAGGAGCACCATTGGTGGGGAGGTCCCTATATGCATATTTTGTCAAATGAATGTGGATGCTCTAAGGTTCACTCACCACTCTCACTCAAAGACACTTTTGGGTGAGAGCTGAGGTTGGAGTCACATAAACTTATGCCCAAATTAAAGAAGATGAAATGTGTTTAGCTATTTTCGTGTGTTGTATCTTGTATGTATAATAACTTATTTTCTCAACCAAGGAATATATATAATCCACAAGGTAACATGAAAGGATGAAGAAGATGAAAGACAAAGAGATTAATCAAAAATTAAGAGAATTAACCAACCCTTAAACATCCATTAAGAAAGAAGTTAAGTGGATGTTACAAAGGTATTCAACAAAAAGAACTAGAATGCTAATAGACATGGAAAAAGTCTACACCACAACCTATCGTGGGCAAACCAAATAAGTCACAACCTATCCGTGGAGTAAACTGATCAAGTTCTTCTTTAACTCTCTTTACTCCAACAATAAATTGTCGATAACGATATTACCAAAGGCTATCCTTCGGTAATTGACCTTCGTAATAATATCGTTTGTCTATAAATTCCGATAGTGGCCGTCATTAATTTCTAACAGCCATGTGGTCTGTTTTTTTTTTTTTTTTTATTATTATTTTTTTTTGCGCCAACTAACCGTTGGTAAATCATTTTTTTGAAGCAAAATCAACTTATTAATAAAAAGTCATACGTCATCTACAAATGAAATCTGAATTTACAAATACATAAATTAAAATCAAATAAAGGTTTCCTTTATCAAAGCTACAATCATTGAATAGATCTTGCATTGTGATACATCCCTTGCATAAAGCGCTGAAATATAAACCTTTTTAGAGAGACGGTCTAACGATTTGTTGTAGCCATAAGAATGATTTTCATTTGATTCACTTGAACATATTTGAAAATTTGACAACCGTTGTGGTTCTGAACAAATTTTACCAACGAACTAATAATATGACAAAAGATGATTACCTTTTATATGAACTCTAACCCGCAAAAAACCTCTAAATAAAAATAAAATACTAAACTAACAAAAACTAACTTTACCACCATATTAAGACACTCCACTATAAAGAGACAGACACATATTTACACTATGTAGATTTATCGAAACCTAAATTGAAAAGCTAAAGAAAAGCAAGAAATAGGGTAGGAAATAATCAAATTTTCTTCTAGTCGTTGGTAAACCATAAAAATAATATGAAATTAATTAAATATCTTTCATTAAATATTATAAAAGTTAAATGATCTAAATACAATGAATATTAAGAATTAATTCAAGTTATTGAAAATTTATAAAACTAAAAATAAAATAAAAATTACAATTATCTCTAAGCTAAAAAATTTAATATGAAAAAAAAACACTAGATCTAAATACTAACCAAGATATCAAAATGAAATACTTACGATAAAATCACCAAAATTAAAGTCTCTCATGATAACCTCCAAAAAAATTTGAAAAAATAAAAATTAAAAATCCAACCTTTGCACTTTCTTCTCTTAAAAATCCAACCTTTTGTTTATCGCAAAAAAAATTCAACCTTTACCCCCTATCTTCATCTAAAGATTCATCACCTATTGATGACCGGTTTTTATAAGTTATTTGCCACGTGTCAACTTTTAATAGGTCTATTATTTTTTTTGATAATTAAAAAAACAAAAATAATTAAAAGAAAAAAAGGAAATCAAAGACCCAGCCCCCCTTTATGGCCAAATGACCACCCCTACACCATCCTGATCGGAACAGCGGGCCCACCCCTTGTCCCTCCCCATCCCCACCTCTTTTTCCCGGCAACCCAACCCACTATCACCACTGCCGTACTCGCCACAAAACCCACCACCTACAACCCCACAAAACCCACGAAATCCCACAAAACCCACCACCTACAAACACACTACCAAATTGAGCACAAATTAGCGGTGGCGGAGCTTTGAACACGACCGTTGAAGGCGACCTTGAGGGCGGCGTTTGAACAAATCTTCTGGGTTGGTTCGAAAAACGGAGGAATGAGTTTCTAATTTGTTTGTGGGTCTTTAAATTTCTGGGCGAAAATCGAGAAAAGATGGTTTTTTTTTTGGTGGATTCTCGTCGAAGAACAACAGAAGTGGCTTGATTTCAAAAATGGCGAGATGAAGTTTATGGGTGTTGATTATCGCACCAAGAGAATAGAAATCGTGGTGGGAGTGGGGGCTGCCGGGCTGCAGTCAATGGAAGTGGTTGGAGGTGATTTTGGTTTGGTTTGGTGGTTTCGGCTTGGGGTGAAGGTGAGGTGGTGGTGGTTTGGTTTTGGTAGGGTGGCAATTGAGGTGGTGACGGTTAGGAGGTGGCTTGGTGGGGAGGCGAGCAGAGGCTACGAGGTGCTGATGCGGCTGTGATGGAAGTAGGTGGCTGGTAGATGATGACGGTGGCGGCACAAGCTGATGTAATTGGGTGTTGTTGTGGTGGGTTGTTGTGTGGTGGAGGAAATGGAGGCGAGGTGTGCTGTGTTGTTTCCATTTTTGAGAAGAGAGGAGAGAGAAAGAGGAGGAGTGAGAAGGGAAAGTGAGATAATTAAAATAAAATTAAAAAATTAACCTGTTTAATAGGTTAAAGGTCAAATGGATTTTCAGATGAAGATAGGGGGTAAAGGTTGGATTCTTCTGGAATAAACAAAAGGTTAGATTTTTAAGGGAAGAAAGTACAATAGTTAGATTTTTAATTTCTATTTTTCCTATTATTGACCTATTTAATTGACCGTCGTAAAATCCATCGATAAATGCACATTTTTTTTAGTACAATGATGACGATTGATAATCACGTAGTAAGGCATCCAACCACCCTGTATCCAGAATTACTTGTTAATTGATTTAACTTTGATCCCAAAACTAATATAATATTAGGTAATTATTAATATTAGCCTTATACTATTGCTTAATTTTAATGGTAGCCAAATTTTTTTCTTCGATTATCTTTGATAGCCATATACTTTAAAAAGTTCTCAGTCGTGACTTTAATGATGTTTTTCCGTTAAATATCTATTAAAGGGGATGGGTAGGGTCTCGGGGTTGGGGTGTTGGGGTAAATCGGCGGTGAGGGAAGCCTGGGCGCCGGGCGTCGTGAGGGAGGGGGGGGGGGGCTGGTGGGGAAGGGTGGTTTTATTTTTTTAAACAAAAAGTTATTTAATTATTAGAAAACTAACAATGATTAATTTTTTTTTTTTTTAATTTTCTTAATTGAAATAGTTAGCCTTGTTTGAGTAGTAAGTTAGATTTAACGTAAAAATTATTATTAAGGTTACGGTTGTAAAATAGTGAAAGTAGAGGGCTACTAAGGATTATCAGTAAAAAGAAAAAAGTTAACTATCATTGAAATTAAGCCATAGTAGAGGTATCATTGAAAATTTTCCTAAAATATTTAACATACTTTTTAAAAAATATATATGTATATATATGTTACTAAGTGTACCGGGTGATACAATTGGTTTTAATATTTCGTTATTTTACTGTCTAATAATGAAAATTTGAAATCATAACTTGTTAAGTAATTGTTTGACATTTGAAGCAAAAACTTTTTTAATTTTTGGATTAAAAAAAAATAATTTACAGTAATATAAGTAATTTAAAAATAATTTACATTTGAAGGTATAATATTGCTTGTTAACAATAAAGCTGACGGACGTATAACTACTTGTCTAATGCTACTAAAGAATTATACAAGTAAATTTGCCTTTATTACCATTTATTTTGAAACACTTATCAATGATGTAACACCAGGTTAATGTCCATGTGATGCACGGATTTAACCAAAAAATATTACGTAAAGTTGTATATTATTAAATAATTTTAAAATCAATATGTAGCTTACTTGAACAATAGTGTTTGATACTCAGCTTCGATCCTTAATTTAAAGGTTCATAGGAAGTGGAGATCAAAAGAAAAACAAACGAAATAGGGGATGGAATAAGATGAGGTGAGATGAAATAGAGGTGAGAGAGTTTAGCTCGATAGTCAAAGCGATCTTTTGGGAAAAAGAAAATAGTAAAATCAGTTTATTTTTCCCACCCCAATTAGCTTTAGATTAGGAGAGAAATTTTTTATAATGAAGCTGTCACGTGGACAATAGTGATGTCAACGTGATATGTTTAAGTAACAATTTATAGTAGATTCTTTATCCCTACCTATTTAAAAGAATGACTAAACACTTATGAATAGTGTTGAGACAATTATACCCTCCTTGAAATGTTTATTTACATATATATATCTACTCTTATATTATATTTGTTACATTTATGAATATGTTGAGATAATTATGCCCCTTAAAATATTACTCCATTCAATTTTTATGAATATTGTTGAGACAATTATGCCTATGTTTATTTCGGTTTTTTTTTTTTTTTTTTTTTTTTTTTTTTTTTTTTTTTTTTACGTATTTCCCCTTATTAATGCTTGCAACAACTTAAGTTGTGACATAAGACCAACTAAAAAAAGCTGCCCGTGTATGTTTAGTTATGACGCGCGCATTGTGCGTGTTAGCTGCCCTAGTTAAAAGTAAAAATTTAACTCAAATAAGTGTACTGACAAATAAAATTATTTTTTTGTGACTGAAATATTTATTTTACAACCATATATGATATACAGTAAATTCTTAGTGACAAAATTGCCAAATATATACTCCCTCCGTTTTTTTTAAACGCTTCGATTTTACAGACACTAAATTTTAGGATGTAAATTGAATAAAGTATTAAAATTTTGTGTAGGTGGAATTCATTCGGAGATAAAAATTTTTAAATAATAATTAGTTGGACGATGGTTATTAAAAAAATAAAGGATGTGAGAGGAGCGGAATAATAATAATAATAAATTTTTTAAATAATAATTAGTTGGACGATGGTTTTGGTGGAGGGACCTCGTCTCGGCCTCTATGTCAACGTTGAGAAAACGGAAGTTTTCTGGCCCTCGGAGGACCTCGTAGCCGTCTCGTAGGTGTCTTTCCTCTAGATATTGCTCATCCTGTGCATGGTGTTAAGTTGCTTGGTGGTCCTGTCAGTGCGAATTCCTCTTTCTGTTGTGAGCTTGTTTCGCAGAGAGGGTGTCGAATACCATTGTGCTAATGGATGTTGTTGCTAAGCTCAATGATCCCCAATGTGAGTTGTTACTTCTTCGTGCGTGTACTGGGGTTTCCAAACTCTACTTTGTTACCCACACTTGCCCCCCTCGTCTTTTTGAAGCGGCCCAGACTTCTTTTGATGTGGCTCTTCGAGTTTCTTTGGAGCACATTGTAACTGCTTTGAGGCCTGGTTTTGGTGATTGGCAATGGCGACTTGCCACCTTACCTTTTGCTTATGGTGGACTGGGTGTCTATTCAACGGGTGATGTTCGGCACTATGCTTTCCTTGTGTCGTGTTTGATGTCTTCTGGTCTTCAGGCTACGATTCTTAGCAATTCTGGTATTGTTGGTCCAGAACCGGCCTTCGATGGTGCTCTTAGTCTTTTTAACAGGACTGTGGAGACTGACCTTATGAGTAACCCTAGTGAGATCGCTGCCCCCAAACTCATGAAGAAATTGGCAGATATATATTTCACGAAGGTCACTGCATCTACATAATCCACTTTTTCTCTATCTCCGCGTCAGGTTGCCTTATAGAAGTCCCAGCAGAGGGATCACACTTCGGCCTGGTTGCGAGCAGTCCCGATATTAGGTTTGGGTCAGACTATGAATGGTAAGACTTACCGTTGTGTTCTTTGCTACCAGTTGGGTGTTCCTTTGTTCTCCGTTTCGACACCGTGTTCTGCTTGCTCAAGGGTATTTGATGGGAATATTTATGGAGATCATGCAATGTCTTGAGCTGAGATGGTGGGTATTAAACATCGACACAAAATTGTTCGTGACACCCTTGTTGATATTTGTTTTCGGTCTGGGATTTCTGCAAGAAAGGAGGTTAACATTGGATTGATTGGAGGGACGACAAGGATCTTCGACCAGCAGATGTGTTGCTTCATTCCTGGGATAGAGGCCTTGATGTATGTGTTGACTTGACGGGGTCTTCTCCTTTGACTCAATATAGGTTGTTTGACTTCGTTCCTGGTCGTGTTGTGTCGGTTGCGGCTCAGCGAAAGCTGGACAAGTATGGGGTGCGTTGCAGGGCTATTGGCTATGGTTTTCTTCCTTTCTCCTTTTCTTCATTGACGGAATTAAAGAAGAATGATGTTACGTTGCTGAAGCGGGTTCAGGCGTTCGCTAGTTATCAGGATATTGGTGCTCGTGCAGTTACTCATATCTTCAACGGGATCCGGTTCGCTATAGCTAGAGGGGTGGGGGCCCAGATTGTATCTCGGCTCCCCACTAATTTCTTGTAAATCGATTGACTTTGTAGGTTTTTGTTATTTTTAATTTATATAATAATAATAATAATAATAAGTGTGGGAACCATGTGAAGATGGAGATATGATTAAAAAGATGTATGAAAAAAAGATGTTGTCCAAAAAAAAAAGGAAGTAATGCATTTACATAAAAACTACCGCTTTAGAAAATGATGCACAAATATTTAAGTTGATTGTATGTAAAAGAAATAAGATGACCAAATAGGAAATCATATTATACAAATATTTTTTTTAAAAGATTTTGGCAAAAATAGTCACGAAGTATAAAATATTAGGATAATATTTTAGTTGCATTTGTATGTATAGAAGAAACAAAAATAGAAAATTCATATTATCTAGATATTTTATTTTGGCAAGAAAATAGGATGGATGATTTTGGAGGGAAAAAAAATCACTATGAAGTGACACGTGTTATAGAAGTGACACGTGTCATTTTTGGTGTCTGTTTTAGTATTATTTTATGTTATTGATGATTGGAATGGTGGTTAAAAACATGCACTTTTTTTTTTAAGTGGTCACATGTCTAATCCCTAGCATGTAGCAACAACGTTGAAATACTTTCTAATACTTCCTCAGATTTCATTTACTTGCAACACCAAGATTGCACGTGATTATGTTACTTAAAATATTAATTATAATTAACGATTAGTTTGAAAATTTACTATCTAAGCCTGTTCTTATTTTATTTTTTTTTCTTAATTCTACCACTTTTCATAATGGTTTTACTTGAATGCCTTCAATCCAATATTATTATTTCATTTTGATGGATTTTTGCAGTTTGAGAAGAATAGAAGTCATGTTTCATCTGCAATAGATTGTTACATGGATCAATACGGAATCTCCATTGAAGATGCTTCGAAGGAGCTCCAATTACACATTGAAGAAGCATGGAAGGACATGAATGAAGAAATAATTGGGACAAGAATTGTTCCAACGCCTATATTACTTGCAGTTGTCAACGTAACAAGGACATTATATGACTTTATCACCCTGATGAAGATGGCTATACTATAGGCCAGTTCTTGAAAGAAAAAGTTGCCACTATTCTTGTTAATCCTACTAATATGGCATAATAATTGAATCAACTTTGTTGGCCCGTATTCCCAAAGAGCCCAAAAGACATAGGGCACATCAGAAGATCAAGCCAAATAAAAAGAGATCAGTTCAAGATGGCGTGATTCGCACAAGTATGGCAAGAAGATCAATTAGTCAATCAGCTAGGATATTGTGATTGATATTGCAGTATTATTGCTCTTGGATATTGTGATTGATATTGCAGTATTGATTGTTATTACCCTTAAAACCTTAAGCAAATTCCTAGACCTACCCTAGTCTAATTAATTTGGCGCCCACCGTGGTACAGAGCTGTGCAAAGACATGGAGGTTCCTTAAGGGATTATCTTAAGAGGTTCATCGGGTAGAAGGTTGGGATTCATAAATGTGATGCTCCCACAACTATCGAAGCATTCAGAAGAGGTCTGCTGGACCATAGCGAGCTCTATAAAGAGCTGACCAAGTATCCCTGCACAACCTTTGAAGATGTCCTAGCTAAAGCAATGGCCCAAGTCAGATTTGAAGAAGATGTCTATGCAAGGAAGACTCATGAGCCAGGTCATTCGACAAGAAGGAATAAAAACTTTCCCAGAAGGGATTATAGATTCAAACCTTATCAACGATCCCGTTTTGAAGAAGGAATAGTCAATGCTGTCGAGGGAGAATTTACAGATTGGAGGGAAGATCCTGAACTCCCCCCTAAATTGCATGAATATTGTTTCAATGTTAACCCTGCAGGTGTGATTAGGACCTTGAACAAAACAGTGGCCCAGAAAGAGTGATAGGCTAGGAGAGAAGAAGGATCCGTCAAGGTGGTGTGACTTCCATTCAGATATTGGTCACACTACTGATGAATGCGTAGTGCTCAGAAAGGAGGTTGTCTACCTGCTGAAGAAGGGATATCTCAAAGAACTCATGACGGACGGGTCCAAAGCCCCGGGCAGAGAAAGAGAGTCCAATCAAGGTGGCCCCCCACCCCCTTCTCCTATTGTCAAGACCATTTGTTTCATATTCGGAGGATCAGAAGTGTACGGCTTAACATACTCAGTAGCGAAGCGCCATGCCAAAGAAAGCAACATGAACAAGCCAGAAAAGAGGGCACAAGCAAAGATGGATATCCCAATCATATTCGAAGAAAGTGATGCAGTAGAAGAGCACCATGATGGCCTAGTAATCGCTCTGGTTGGAAATTGCTTGATCAAGAGGATCCTGGTTGACAACGAAAGTTCAGCAAATATCATTATGCTTGATACAGTGAAACATATGAACATTGACGAGAAAGATATCATCAACAAGTCGACAATGCTGGTCGGATTTAGTGGAGAAACCAAAAAGACAATTGGAGAAATTACATTACCTACCTATGAAAAAGGGATTAATCTGCAAGTAAAGTTCCTAGTGATCGATTCTGCCGTCTTACAACATGATTCTAGGCAAACCTTGGATACATGAAATGAAAGCCATCCTATCTACGTATCATCAGATCATCAAATTTCCCACCAAATAGGGTATCCAAGAAATCAAGGGAGACCCAAAGGAAGCCAAGGAATGCTACAAAATAGCCTTGAAAGCAACATCTATAGAGAACGAATCAGCTTAACAATCAGAGATTCAGTTGGGCCAAGAAAAGATCAGCATAGTAGAAGAACAAGAAGCAATAGAGTTCTAACTGAATCCGGACCATCCAGATCAGAAAGTACGAATAGGAGCAGAGTTGAGTAAAGACCTTAGTCAGCAAGTCTTAGAATTCTTGGAAGTAGAGAAGGACGTGTTTGCATGGACACACGAAGACATGAAGAGAATCCCCCAGAGGTAATTACACACAAGCTGAACATGGACCCGGAACATGTACCAGTAAAGCAGAAGAGAAGGAAATTTGCACTAGAAAGGAACAAAAATATTAACGAAGAAATTTAGAATCTGCTCAAAACCCAAAAGATCAGAGAGGTTAAGTAAACAGACTGTTTAGCCAGCGTAGTGGTGGTCAGAAAGAAAAATGAGAAGTGGAGAATATGCATAGATTTCATAGACATCAATAAGGCCTGCCTAAAGGTTCCGTTCCCACTACCTCACATCGACGCCATGGTAGATGCAACAACTGGACACGAACTACTCTCCTTCATGGATGCATACAGTGGGTACAATCAGATTCTCATGCACAAAGACGACCAAGAAAAGACAGCCTTCATAACCAGTCAAGGAATATATTGCTACAAAGTAATGCCTTTCGGACTGAAGAATGCTGGAGAAACATACCAGAGACTAGTTAACAAGATTTTCGAAAAACAAATCGGAAGCACAATGGAAGTATACATAGATAATATGGTGGTGAAGTCCAAGAAAGCAACAGATCATGCCAAGGACCTCAAAGAAGCCTTCTCCATCTTAAAACAGTACAGCATGAAGTTGAATCCTACTAAGTGCATGTTTGGAGTACAGTCAGGAGAATTCTTAGGCTACATGGTAACAAAGCGAGGAATAGAAGCCAATCCAGATCAAGTCAAGGCCATACTCGATTTAGAAAGACCAAAGTCCAAGAAGGATATACAAAGCCTTACAGGAAGAATAGAAGCACCGAACAGATTCACGCTTGCCAAGGCATTACTTTAGCTATTAATATCTTTAATTATACTATTATAAAAATTATATAAAAAAAAATGATACTCCCTCCATCTTTTTATTAAAGACCTGTATTCTTTTTTTGGCAAATAAAATTAAAGACCTATTTCTATTTTAAGGTTGTACTATTTGAGAATATTCTCCACTTATCACTTTTTTGTACTAATAATGACTTTTTACATTAATTTTCAACACTTTCTCTCTTCCTCTCTTCATTTATTCCCAACCACTTTTTTTTTTCTCTCTATCTCTCTCTAACCCCACATGCAGTTATGTACTTCCACCAACTTTCTTAATTTCCGTGAAAAAATCCAAATAGGTCTTTAATAAAAAGACGGAGGGAGTATTTGAAAAGTAGATTTTGAAACGAATCTAACTAGATCCCATATGACTATGTTTTTCTTAATGGATAAATCACAAATGATGATCAAAGAAGATTAAGTAAATAGTGTAAAAGTGCTTATGGTGCAATAAAAGAAAAACGGAGAAAGTATACGTAATCTGTAATAGAAAATGTTACAAGTAGCAACAGATAACCTTACCATGTCCTTACAAGTTTAATTAAAACCCATCCTCACAAGTAATAGAAAATGTTACAAGTAACAACAGAGGACACTACTACATTTTTAATTAAATGCAACGGCTAAAAAAGAGCTAGTGCAACAACTCATTTTATTGTCGTTGCATTAGATAAGCCTAATACAACGGCATAAACTTTGTACATCAAAAGATGGAGCTAACACAACGGCTTTAAGAAGCCGTTGCATTAGGTGTACTAATACAACAGCCTGAAAAGCTAATGCCACGGCAGTGATATTAAATACTTCGTATGAAAATGCGCTTAAATTTTGAAAATCCCTCTGTTTTTTAATAAAATTTGGTGAGTCACTATTTGGAGGACGGTGAGGACCCTCTTTACTTATTTTCTCTCTCTTTCGCTCATTTTCTCTCTCCTCTCTCTCTTTCTTTCCTCCATTGAAGCGGCGTACTCTGGTCTTTCTTTCCTCCATTGAAGCTGAGTTGAGGTATTTATTCTTCTTCATAATCATCAAATATCAATTTGACAATCTAGGGTTTCACTATAATTGATTTATTTGTCAGTATAGACAATCTAGGGTTCTTAGGTGGATTATCGAACTATTTTTTGAATCAACTCATTTGAATTTCTAGTAATTATTATTTACTCACTATTTGTACGTTTCACCTGTTACTCTGAGAAGATGGAGGGAGATCTAGTATGCTTCACCAGACCACCGCTGCACCGCACCACCAAAAGTCAGTGCCACCAACGTCGCCACACCTCCTAGCCGACACCACTAACACAACTGACACCGCAAGGGGTTTGGGTCAGTATTTTTAACCTTACAATTTCAAATCCCACTTGCGACTCTTAATTGGAAATGTAATTTATGTATATAGATTTCTTTTTTCAAATTGTATAGTGAAATTAAAATATATTTGCTTCATTGTTTTACATTACTTTGTTTGAGAATTTAGAATTGTATTATTTGATTAAAATTTTGAACATTCAAATTGGAGTTTATAAATAAAAAAGATAAAATTAAAAAAAAAATAGGGATCGTTATTCTATAAAGCAACACCCATATTGTAATATTTTATGCTGGACATCATTATGTCTCAAAAGGCTTGATTGTAATTTTGCTCGGGATTCTATTTTTGAAACTGTAATTGTTTTGCAATTTATGTATAATTTATAATCCTTTGGAACTATTAATGTAGCTCCAGATTTTAGTGCTCCTTCCTCTAAAGATAATATGTGGTACACCGATACTTTAATTTTGGGGTCCATCTCAATCTCCTTATGGAGGTTTTTTTAAAACCCTTCTTAATTTCTTAATTTTTTTGTATTCCATTTTTTATTTAGTTGAAAACTTGAAATTACATGTATTTCTTGTTCTGGTTTGTATTTCCTTAATGTATGACTGTATGTCCTAGTATGAGAATTTGCTATTTCCTTAGTCACGAATCTTTAAATTCAATGCTATCAGGCTATTGTTAATTTAGTCCAATATTTATACTTGTGTATTACTGTCGGTTGAATGGATGTGTTGGTTAAATTTATATTATTTTGTTGGGAAGAATAATGTTTTTCTAAATTCTTTTTCTAATTTTAGATGTGACTAACGTATGAGGGGTGTCTTCAAGTTGGATCAGAGTTAGTTGTTTATACCAGAAGATTACCTAATGGCTACTCAAAAGGAAATTATGCATTCAATGATTCTTTTAGTGTCTCTGAAACATGTTCACTAGAATCACTAGATACCTCAATCTAACTGGAACATAAGTCAACCTCACAACTACAATTCACATAAGTAATTTGCCCGAAAGAAAGAAG